CATTGATATGTGTAACTAGAATGAATGACGTACCCCCATCGAACCCCATTTTTATTTACTTAAATAAATGCTAAGCTTACCCGCTGATCCCTATAATTCCCTAAACTCACATATAATGACACTTCGTCATTTTCCTAGTTTTAGCTAAACACTCAACAGAAAGCGTCATTACCGTTTTATGACGATGATATTCCATACGCCCGTCAGTCCGACCAACCGACTGATAACCATCCCCGATGATAACAGCTACAACAAATAGTAGATTCCCGTAATTTAGCGTGATAATATAATTAATATTCATTAGCTGATGTTCTCGAAGGCGATGACAATAGAAGCAGAAAATACAAAAATACTACACAAACACAATAAATGTCATTTTAATGATTTCTTAAGGGAACCCCCCCCATTCTCGATTTAATTTTTTCAAGATTTTCAATGGGCTGGTAAATCAATACCAATGCTTGTTAAGGTTTGTAACTTTGCACATACATAATTGAAGATTTAAAAGAGAAGAAAAATAATTTACAAAAAAATTTTGTTATTGTTTTGTTGTTGTTTTTTGTAATTAAAGAAAAGTCCTTATTTTTGATGGCGGGCATGATAACTCCTCACTGGAACATCGGAATCCGAAAATTCCAACGGTGTTAGAAAGAGTACATGTCTGACTCTCGTATGAACTAGGATTATTGACTTCGCTCTAAAATTAAGAAAATGGTGGCCCTTTGAAAAAATATTTTTGAAAAATCGCGGATTTTTTTACCAAAAACCAAGTTAAAAAATAAGGAAGATCTTCACCGATTGGCTTTATCCTAGTTCATACGAGAGCTATACACTCCCAGAGAAACGTTGCAAAATTTGGAACCGATTGGATTATTAGTTTTTGAGTTATCGTGCCCGCCATTCGCAAAAAAATGTTTAGAGAAAAACGCGTTTAAAGTTTGAGAAGCCCTTCAGCCGTCACTTGATGCTGACACAATAAATCGGATATATCTTCAACAGTTCTTGAGATTTTCACTTGAAATTTTGTAGAGACATTCTTTAATCAGTGTAGATTCGAATTATATCAACAACAATTTTGACCCCGGGAATGGGGGGGGTCCCCTTAATAGAGAGAATTCAATTGTTCAGCCAGTGAGACCGATTAAGGAAATCAAGACGCGGTGACTGCATATCATAAAAATTGTGGCAAAAAGAAGATGATTTCAATTTAAATAACATTATAATGATCATTCAGTCTTTGGTGGTTGGGTGATTGAAAATATCTATGTTTGCATGGTACCTGATACGGAATTTCTATGAAAAATAATATAAGAAATGCGTGTTGCCAAGGTTGAAATACCGTGAAGAAACAATGGTCGGAATGCTGTTATGATATTTGTCGTTATTTGTTTAGAATAGAGGTGTGCAACGAAAAAATTCTCAGAGAACAAGTGAGAAACCGCCATATGAAATGACTTACTAAAAGAGAACGCAGAGAACGAACTTTTTTATACATGTAAACCAGGACACCAGTTCTCATGATTGAACAGGGCTAGTTTAGAAGATATAGGGAAAAAGAAAGTAGTGATTGTCATTACTCATTGGAACAGGTTGGCCCCGTTTTCTAATCTAGAAGATCTTCCAATAAGGAATTTAGTCCCATAGCCGCTATATAATACAATGCGTCTTATATCAGATAATTTTCTATTATTTTCCAACCTGTGTGTATGTAAATTCGTTCTCAGATATCTAAATGTTTAATTTAGGTCCATTTTTTAGAATAGACCTTATATCTCAGATTATTAAAAAACATCTTAGTCCAGTCGTTTGCATATTTGTTCATAGGAATGAAAGTTCTTCCCCGTTGGACATGTTTAATACAGGTCCACGTTTTAGATTAGATTACTATTGCACCACTGTACTGCGTATTATCAGAGGATAAACAACCTCTTAGAAGAGAATTTGCTCGATATAGGTTCATGCATCAGACGCAGGTTTCGCCCGATTTTGGGACAACTTAATTGCCTTTAATTTCGGATTTCGACATCTCAGAGAGTAAAAGATCTCCTCAATATAGGCTCATATTTATACCCATCACCACACTGTGGTGCAGGGTATTATGTCTTTGTGCATATGTTTGTAACAGGCAAAAATAAACGAGATAGACACAGGGTTCCTTTTGAGAATATGCATAGAATCACTTTCTAAGTCCATTTATGCATGCCCGTCTGTCTGTTGATGTTAAATTGTAAACAAAGTACAGGTCGCATTTTTAATCCGATTTGGCTGAAATTTGGTACAGCTCATTTATTTGGCCCAAGGACGAACCCTATTGTAATTGGGAAAAATCGGTTCATATATATTTTTGTCCGATTTTAGGAAAATGGTGCACTAAAGACCCTGCAAATCTTTCGATTTGTACGAATTTTGGTATAGCGTACTGAATTATGTCCAGAATAATGTGTGCCAAGTTTCGAGATTTAGATATAGCTCCCATATATAGTTTCGTCCGATTTCATCTAAATGGTGCACCAAAGTCCCTATATATCTTCCGATTTGCACGAAATTTGGCATGACGTATTGAATTGAGCCTAGAGCGATGTCTCCAAGTTTCGTAAAAATCGGTTGAGATTTTGATATAGCTGATATGAAGTAATTGACGCACCAAGAAACCAATATATGGCTGATAGGAACTAAACGTACCGAAATTAGTATAACTTAACCTGCGACAAGTATCGTTGAAATCGTTTCATATTTGGGTATAGCTTCCATATATATTTTCGTCCGATTTTAAGTAAATTGTACATCAAACTCCTCATGTTTGTCAGATTGACATCAAATTTTGCACAACGTACAAAATTGAGCCTAGAATAACGTAGTTACGTTTTCTAGAAGTCGATTTGTTTGAAGTCGATTTTCATACTTTTGTCCTAAACGAATGACATGTTTATGGATAGATCTAGTCCGATTCACATTTAGATAAATATCACATATTTTTTATTTCATCCAATTTCATTTAATAATTCTGTTTAATATACCCATAGTGGTGAAGGGTATCATATAGTCGGCCCCGTCCGACTTTATTACTTTCCTTACTGGTTTTTACTTGTAACATAAAAGAGTCTGACCCAAGGTTACGGTATTTTAAAGATGCTAGCGGTCAATTGCCACACTAAATATCGGTTATTTTTTATATCAGGAACTTTGAGGCCAAATTTCCATCCCATAGAAAATTTTTAATATATAACCCCGTTTCAGAATCCTAATTTATGCCCTACAAGAGGCCCAAGAGTTTGTTTTAGTATACCGATCGCCATATCTCGACCAGCTAGACATGTTTGTCCGTCCGTCTGTCTGTCCATTATAGTTCTGGCTGGGTTCTGGCTAAAGAAGATCCTTAACTTTATTTCGTCTGTTTTTCTGGACGATCTAGAGGTCACAATTATGACCCGAAAATTACGAAATTTAGATATAGGTTAAGATTTCGACATATTCCCTTTTGACTTTAACTTAGCATTTCGGATTCTCGGTAAATAATATATCTCCTCAGAGAAAATGTTAAATTTTGGTTCATGTTTTAGCGGTATTTTTCTAATCTAAGTGGCATATTCCCTTCGGTTACTCGGAGGATAATAGAACCCTCACAGAAAAATTTTAATTCAGATAAGGCGTCCATTTAAGGGTTCCGCCAATCTATGTTGCTTTAATGTCCGTATTTCGTGCTTGGAGAGAGTAAACAATTATTGGTAGGAAATATTCAATACATGTCCAAGTGTTGAGCTCATAAAAAGCTTCCTTCTATAATTTGGCATTTTGGGTGTCAAAGTGTCATTTTTGTAAAGAGGTATTTTATGACCTCCTTACAAAAAATACACTATAGGTCCATGTTTAGACATAGCCTCCATATAAAGGTCCGACCCAATTTTCGGCATTTTGAAACTCTATATGGCATTTCACAAACAGATTGCCTTTATTTTGGTTTTTCAGATTGATATTCGACAAAAAAAACCGTCTGTCATTATTTTTACACCGCAGGGTATTGTTTTCGTGAATATAGTTGTGACATGCAAATTAAAACGAAATAGACTAATAGTTACTTTTAAGGATATACATCAGTTTCAGAGTTTGAGGATAGAATGGCGTGCATTATGTTTTGTTGAAATCGGTTTTGATATAGATATAGATCCCATATATATTTAAGGCCGATATCATGCATATGGTTCACGAAAGTCATTACGTATACCCAATTGGCACGAAGTTTAGCATGCAATAGATAATTGATTTAAATGCAATCAGATTTTGGGAGCTATATTCATATATTCCGATAAATGATGCATCAAAGATTTGCAGATTTGTCCAATTGACGCGAACATTTGCATGGTTACCGACATGGAACTACAATGAAGAATCCATAGAATTGACATAGATATATAATATCATCACGAAAAATATTTGGATAACGAACTAGTTCGATTTAGTTTGGTAGAAAAAAAACTTTTTTAAAAATTGCAACTCCCTAATAAAAATATCGTCGATTTTTTAATATTTTTAATTAAAAGATTTGTTGTGATACTTTCTAGTTTTTAGCGACTTTAAAAAACGTCTATAGTAATAAATAATATTGAATCATGATAACTTCATTTCGATTTCATAACTTATGCATCTTCTAACTAAAATATTCAGAAGCAACAACAACTTTTAGACATATTATATTTAAATAATTTAACGACACGAAACATATACATACATATTTTTTCAAAAATGTTTTGTTTTTTTTCTTCACACGTTTTCTTAAATGGCTAGAGGAACTTATTAACAGGTGTTCAACACACCAACAAACATAGATACCCGTTTGTATATAGCAAACAAAATATAAATACATTAGTTAAATAATAACAAAAAAAAATAATATTTATTCTAATATAAACATCCACATCGAAGTTTAAACAAAAACCAATATAAATAATATTTTCTTAAAAAAACTGAAATAAAAAACTAAACAAACAAAGCAACAAACTTACATCGATATATGATGTCATCTCATCGAACATTGTCTTCAAATCCCGTTGATTACCCAGCATCAGCGGTAGAATTTGTTTCTCATGCAAATCCAATATCTCCTTAATATTACCCAACAATTGTTGTTGTTTATCAGCGCCCCGTAGGGAATCGGGTAGTTTATCGTATTTATCCAAGTTGCCATAATTTTGTAGACCCTTCTTCAGATTGTTGATATAATTGCCTTCAGTTTGTAGCAGCTCATCAATGATATAACTAATTTTACGTGATGAATAAATTTCGGTGTGATCACAGGGTAAGAGATTTTCCAGCGATATGGTATCCTCATCTTCGTGACTGTTGAACAGAAGGGAATGGAGGGAAAACAAATTCTTAGTTAATTGTAATATGAATAGATAATGTGTAATGATGCTTATGCTGGAAAAATATGGTGACCAATCTTCAGTTAATTTAATCTTCAGACACTAAATTACATTAATTTTTTCCGATAAAAACCGATCGGTTAAATACAAAATATCTGTTAAATGACTGGACTTGTCAATTAAAAACATATAACAAATATTTTTTTCGCAGATAATGACTTGAGTCGCTATTTCTTTGAAATAAAAGACAAGTTAAACTCTTGGAATTCAGCAGACTTCGTATTTCAACTCTTGAAGGTTTAGACCTCTATATATGATATATCGACCAGGGAAAAGATTTTGGGATATACCCTCCACCATAAGATGGAGTGTATATTAAATTTATCGAAACACCTTGAAATGAAATTCTATGTGCGAAAGTCTGACAGTTTGTCAATTGAAATTACTTTGGCATTACTAATGGGATAAATCGGTCCACGTTTTTGTATTGCCACCTATATAACTGTACCGTCTCATTTTTAGAATTTCGAAGGCATTTTCCCACCGAAGTGGCTGTAATTTTGCATTCCGGGAACTTGAAGAGCGAAAATGTATGTAATTGCTGCAAAAGTCCTGACTGGTTTTCAGTATTTTAAAGGTTTTACCTGCATTTACTCGCCGAAGTGGCTATAATTGGATGATTTGAAAATTTATCAAATAAGAAACTTCTTCCCCGAAAATATGATTTTTCTAAGCTTAGTATTTGTATATGGAAGCTATGTCTAAATATAAACCCATGGTACAATTATAGAAGGTAACAGCAAATCCCAGCTGATTTGATTCCAACGTAATACTAGTGTCAATATGAATTTCACAAATTATGTTTTTAAAAATCACCCAACAGGAAAATTGGAAACGCATACAATTTGAAACTGTTCTTTATTAAATGTGCTCCCGTATTCAAGTTACTCAATCTGCCTGCTGGGAAATTTTGAGGAAGCAAATCTTTCTTCGTTGAATAACTCGCAATTTCCCGCATTTTCATATGTGTTACACATATAAGTGGTAATGACTCAATTATAGGAAATATGTGGAAGCGATAGAAATGTAAATTTAATAGATTTTCATTCATGTTTTTCAAATTTTATTTTGATGATTCGAAAATATTTCATTTTCAAAATTTTGTTTGTTTACATTTTTCTGTCAAATAACGTTGACACTAGTATAACTTACAACAACAAATGTCCATGTGGTTGTTGTATCGATTGTTGTTCAACAACACTTGCTGTTACCTTCTATTATTATACCATGATATAAACCTATACTGAATATTTATATTTGATTACACTTAAAATGTTTAAAATCAGCTCGGACAATTATTTCTAAACGTGGGTCTATCTTTAAATTCTTCTGCGAGAAGGTATTTTAGCCACCCAGAAGCGGTACTTTTTGGGTCGTCAGAGGTCACAAATGATGATCTGTCCTAACTTCTAAGCATTACTAGCTAGAAGCCACTAAAAATTATAAATATCGGTCCACTTTTTTTGGTAGCCCCCATATAACGGTATCTTTAATTTTCATATTTTGGGGGTTTTGATCGCATTTTCAACCGAATTGTCTGTAATTTAGTACATTGAGTTCTTTTTGGGTAGCAAATCTCTCCACTAAAAATTATAAATATAGGTTAATTTTTTTCCGGTAGCCCCCATATAACGGTATCCCCCCCTGTCGCTGTAAATTGGTATTTTGTAGTCGTATAGGTAACAACTCTCTCCGTCTCTCTGTCCGTCTGTTGATGTTAAATTGTAAACAAAGTACAGGTCGCATTTATAATTCGACTTAGATGAAATTTGGTACAAGTCACTTATTTGGCCCAAGGACGAACCCTATTGAAATTGGAGAAAATCGGTTCAGAATTAGATATAACTCCCATAAAGGTAAATTGACCACAAAGTCACTGAAAATCATTTGATTTAGTCTAGAATGATGTGTGCTAAGTTTCGTGAAAATCGGTTCAGATTTATATATAGCTCCCATATATAGTTTCGCCCGATTTTAAATAAATGGTGCACCAATGTCCCTAAAAATCATGAGATTTGCACGAATTTTGGCACAGCGTATTGAATTAAGTTTCGTGAAAATCGGTTCAAATTTTGATATAGCTCCAATATATAGTTTCGCCTGATTTTAGGTAAATGGTGCACCAAAGTCCCTAAAAATATTTTGATTTGCACCAATTTTGGCATAAGGTACTAAATTAAGTCAAGAATGATATGTGCAAAATTTCGTGAAAATCGGTTCAGATTTACATACATCTCCTATATATATTTTCGTCCGATTTTAAGTAAATGGTGCACTAAAGATCCATAGTTAGACCGATTGATACAATGTACTGAAGTTAATATAAATTAATCGCTGGCAAGTTTCCTTGAAATCGGTTCAGATAGAGATATAGCATAGCTTCTATATAAAATTTTGACTTATTCATGTTAATTGTACACCAATTAATCAATGGGTATCTGATTGAGATTAAATTTTAAAGAGTTCATAGGTTGCAGAATGACATATGTCATTCTGTTAGTCGGTTTAGATGTATTTAAAGATCACATATTTAAGTTCGTTCAATTTTATGTCAATGTTCCTTCTAAAAGGCGTCGTCTTTTAGAATACATTTGTAGAATATACCAAAGTGGTGAAGGGTATCATATAGTCGGCCCAGTCCGACTTTACTACTTTCCTTACAGGTTTATATTAAAATAGTTAGCTGATTTGTTTGGTGTGTTGGAGTTGTCCCCATAAATGCGTATTCTACAATAGATATTCGTTTCTCGAAATTGTCAGTTTTTACCTTACAAAATATGGAATTTTAAGTCGATTTAGCCATCTGTTGCAATCATTCCGCCTTCTAAGGACATCGTGAAAAGAAAACTCGAAAATGACGATAATGAAATATACCGGCTAGCATTTAGGCCGGAGGGTATCCAAAGTTCGGCCCGGCCGAATTTAACGCTTTTTTCACTTGATGACTACCAGATTTGTATTTTTATAGCTATCTCATTTTTGAAAATTGGTTTTATTATGTTCTAAGATGTCTGCCATTGTGTGAGTCAATGGATTTTCAGTTGCCACAATTATATGTGTGATAGGATGTGTGTGGTGATATATACGCTTATCTACCGAAAGCACGTGTGCGGTTAAATATTGGATCCTGATTTAAACTTTTCCCTATCAATTCCGCGTAGTAATATAACAAGTGATTAATATACCTATTTTGCTTTAATTTCAATTAATCATTGCATATTTCTTTGCGTCTGAAATATTACATATTTTTATCGGTCAATAAATATGGTCACCTTATTTTTCCTTTTTTATGCAATAAATTGATAAATGAAACACATAAAATATTAAATAAATTCGTAATTAACACAATCAATTTTTGCAAAATGAATTAAAATTACATAAATACAACAACAACAAGAATCAATAAAATGATATACATACATAAAATAATAAAAAATATTAAATAAAAAATGCAACTTACTATTCATCACTCAAGTTATCGGGGTAACAGGACGTGATGGCTGTGGCAAAATTTGGCAATGAATATCCGGTATTGCCATTGAAGAGATTACCCATTGAATGGCGTATCGATAATGTTGGCGGTGTCTGTGATGATGACGATGAAGATGTAGACGTCGCAGACGATATGGTTGGGGACGAAGACGATGAAGATGCATTTATTATTGTAGACGTAGAAGAAAAATATGAAAGGCTGTGTGTGTGAAAGACGTAGTTAAACAGGTGAGCATGCAAGCGGCGATCATTCCCAAACGAAAAAAACGAATAGAATAAACAAAGAAGAAGAACAACAAATAAACAAAAATGTTTAATGCAAATTATTATCGCATTTTAATGGGGTTTTAATAAAATATTCAAAATTAATAAGCATAATAAAAAACGAAATTTGTGTTGTTTTACGAGGTTGAAGTTGGTCACGATTATCTAACAATACGGTGCTACTTTTTGTTAGTATTTATTTCTTCAAAGTGGACGCTAAAGTGGAATTCTCAAGATTTTAAAATTATTTTTTTAAGAGTTTAATGGAAGATTGGGAATTTTGTCTTCGTTTCTCAGGTTTTGCGAGATAAAGGATATATAAATTTGCTAAATTTGTGGTTGATTTTGAAAAAAATCTGGCAAAGTCGAACGGTGTCAACTATGATACCCTACACCACATAGAGTATATGCAAAATATATTCTAAAGTATCTTAATTTATATGTATATGTCTGAAGTGATTTGACCAAAAGTTAAAAATGTTCTTCTATACTGATTGGGTATTGTATTTCTACAATATTCTGCCGATTGGAGTGCACTATTACAATGAAATCGGACGTTATTAAATATACATATATCGTTATATGAACCAACTCCAATCAAACATTATTCGCTTGTAGAATATGATATTATATGTATATGGGAACAATATCTAAAACTCGACGGCACTGAAACGCTTATCTATCCTTTAGAAGCCTTTCGAGTTGACCAGGAAATCATAGTCCGGGTCAGCCACATGCCACAGAATTGTTTGAAAAACTAATCCAGACAAGATGGATATATGTATTTTCACCAATAAGACAAAATGTAAACCAGAAAGGAAAGTTCAAAAGTCGACTATATGATACCCTTCACCACTTGAGATGATCATATCTACTAAAGAATATTGTACATATGAGCATCTCTTGATAGAATAGACATAGCATCTTTGGAGGACGATTTGGTAGGTTGTGCACTAATTCGTCCTAAGCGGACAAACTTTAGTTATTTGCTACATCATTTTGATGAAATCGGATGAAAATATGTATGGAAGCTATATGTAAACTAAATACTAAATTACTGCCAAGTTTTAGTAGCAAGATGCGTTTCCGGACGAAAACTCAACGTACCAAATTATAGTCAAATTGGCTGAAAACCGTATTCAAACTCCCAAAATACCGAATAATGTGGAGTACAGTTACATGCAAAATCGCAAAGCTCTATTTATTTCAACAGACTGAGGGGCATGCCTAAATCGACATAGACATTTTTCCCAATCAAAAATATAGAGATCGAGGTATTGAAAATGAATGACAAATTTAATATACAGTTCACCTTATGGTGGAGGGTATAAATTGAAAGACCACATACAGTAATGGGTCAACAAAACCCACATATGCTGGTCTCTCTGCAGAAGAGTCGATAACTCATATTACCCAGATGTTCGATTTTTAGAGGAGTTTCGATACGCTTTTCAACAGAATTGGGGCCATTTTGAATTCCCACTGGATACCAAATATCCCTACCAAAAATTATTAATATTTGTCTATTTTTCAGTTTTGACTATTTTGAGCAGATTTTTGAGCTGAATTTGTGTAATTTGATTTTTTCGTGTTCTTATCAGATCAATATCGGTCACGTTTAGGCATATCCTCCATATTAAGTAGTCCCAATTTTGGGTTTTTTGGCGTCATTAAGCGCATTTTCAACCGTTTTGGGTAGTTTGGGGAGGTTTTTCAACAGATAATATTGATTTTGGGGTATCTCACATACAACGGTGCCCCCCAAACATTTGGATTTTGAGGATTTTGCAGAAGTTTTTAAACCGAATTCGTTCATATTTTCGGGTACCATCCATATAAGGGTACCCCCCTATTTCCGGTATTTTACGTTTCTTGAGCGCTTTTTTCTACCGAATTCGCTGTAATTTGTTATTTTTAAGGCAATAAGTATCCCTCCCAAAAATTATTAATATTCGCCCCCTTTTAGGGGTAGTCCCCATATAACCCCCTTTTTAACCCTTTGAGCCCCGAATTTATATCCGTAACAATAGAATTATGCATTCGGGAGACAGTACCTTCTTTCCGAAAAATAAAAGTACAATATCCACAAACACAAATGCGATATCGACGGAAAAATATTTGTAATTATTTTTAGGTTCTTTTTTAAAAATTCAACAACAATTTGGAGGGTACAATTCGTACATTTCGAATACGAAGCGATTTAAAAACTTTGGACTGTATACACAAATTGGTACTGTACATATTTTTGCACCCATCTATTTATTGAAAAGCGTATAACTTGACCAAAAATTTGAAATTTAATCAGCTCTTGACATATGCAATCCAAAAAATATATACATTTACTACCCGCGTATTAAATATAAGCTCTAAAACATTTTGTTGCTTGTGGGCAACATTGGGCCACAAAGGGTTAAGGGTATTAAGTCTTTGTGCATATGTTTGTAACAGACAAAAGGAAGCGAGGTAGACACATGGTTCCTTTAGAGAATACAGTCTATCCCTCCGTCTATATAGTTTCGTCCGATTTCTAGTAAATGGTACACCAAAGACCCAACGTTAAGCCGATTTGCACAACCTTTTTCACAACTTACTAAAGTTACTATTGGTCTGTTCCCGTACTGCAAGAATCTACTAATTTTTACTATTTTTTCCGATAACATAAAGAAAAATTTGTTATGGTAGTAAAAAATTGTACATTCTTGTAGGTTCTGGAACAGACCATATAACATAATGTGTGTCCAGTTTTGTTAAAATCGGTTCCGATTTGGATATACTCCCATATCTAGTTTCGTCCAATTTTAAGTAATTGGACGAAACTATCGGTGGACATAGCTCCAATATACAATGATGCACCAAAGACCCAAAATATGGCCGATATGCACAAAACGCACTGAAGTTAGTTTAACCTAACCTGTGGCAAGTTTCGTTGAAATCAGTTCAGATTTGGATATAGTTTCCATAAATATTTTCGTCCTATTTCAAGAAAATGGTGAACCACATTCCTCATAATTATTAATTTGAGACAAAATTTGGCACAACGTATGATTTTGGCCTCTTAATCTCGGGGAAGATTATAGACACGTTTTCCAGCCTACTATTGGTTATCAATATTGGTCCATCGAGTTTTGAGATTATTGAAACTATTCCCAATTAATGTAGATAATATCACTTTGAAAAATACACTGTATAGGTCCATTTTTTGGTATATCCCCTGTGTTATAATCCCGTCTATTATTCATTACCATATGGTGAAAATTTTACATTAAACGTGGCTGCAATGTGGTATTTCTCCAGTCTCCAGTAGTTTCCAAGATATCAGTGGAAAACGTTGTTTGCATAGATTTACTTATTTTTAATATTCCCTATATGAAGATGCCACTTCATTATACCCTTCACCACACTGTGGTACAGGGTATTATGTCTTTGTGCATATGTTTGTAACAGGCAAAAATAATCGAGATAGACCCATGGTTCCTTTTGAGAATATGCATAGAATCACTTTCTGAGTCGATTTAGTCCGTCCATGTATTTTTGTTAACAAAGTACAGGTCGCATTTATGATCCGATTTGGATGAAATTTGGCATGGGTCACTTATTTGGCCCAAGGACGAACCCTATTGAAATTGGGAAAATCGGTTCAGATTTAGATATAGCTCCAATATATATTTTCGTCCGATTTAAGGTAAATGAGGTACCAAAGTCCCTATATATCTTTCGATTTGCACGAAATTTGGTATAGCCTATTGAATTAGGTCTAGAATGATGTGTGCTAAGTTTCGTGAAAATCGGTTCAGATTTAGATATAGCTCCCATATATAGTTTCGCTCGATCTTAGGTAAATGGTGCACTAAAGTCCCTGAAAATCATTTGATTTGCACGAATTTTGGTATAGCGTATTGAATTAAGTCTGGAATGATGTGTACACCTCCTATATATATTTTCGTCCGATTTTAAGTAAATTGTGCACTAAAGATCCACAACTAGGCCGATTGACACAACGTATTGAAATTAGTATAAATTAATCTCTGGCAAGTTTGCTTCAAATCGGTTCAGATATAGATATATCGTAGCTTCCATATATAATTTCGACTTATTTATTGAGATTAAATTTTAAACAGTGCAGCATACCGAATAGCGTGTGTCAAGTTTGCTTTAAATCGATTTACACAAATCTGTCCCACTCTGCGCAAACGACTCTAAACATGCCCAAATGAAATGAAATTTAGCATAGGTTCCAGAAAGATATAAAAATCACATATTTCAATTTCATGTCAAAATTCCTTCAAATTCATATAGTCGGCCCAGTCCGACTTTACTACTTTCCTTACTGGTTTTTGATTAAATCAGAGGCTTTAACCGAACTTTCCAAACCCATTCTATGTAGAATAGTTCAACGTTGGATTTAACCACTACTTTCCCACAAATGGTCAACATTTTATATATCCTTTAAAATTGGAAATAAATCCCCAATTTGTGTCACACTTTTCACATCACATTAAACACTCCCAATATACCACTCTTCAAAATTATGAAGAATCATAAAATTTTAAATAATTTTCTATTTTACTATAATTCGAATAAAAAGTAATTGTTGTCCCCGAAATATAAATAGTAACACATATCTCACTCTTCACGGGTGTATTAAAATTCTAAAAGCCGCAATCCATTTTAGTCGTATCATATTATTAGCAGTAGCACCGTGTAAATGATAAATAACAATAGCAAAAAACCGAAAACAGAAAACAAAAATATTCAAATTGTCACACAAGTTTTGAATACCAGTTTGTTTTTGAATGTTTTCAATATCAAATAAATAAAAACACAAACGAAACGCAAAACAATTCCCCATAACAAAAAATTTCAAACATGCAATAGAATAGACGTAACGTGACAACAGCAGAAAAAAATTCACATTTCCAAAAAAATGCTTAGAACTTCTTATCTCAAAGCAGATGTTTTCAATTAACCAACCAACAACAACAACATCACAAAACGAAAAAATTCAATTTCTAATTCCCAATTTGATAAAATTCATTTCACACATACTTTTCAGATTGTTCACTTTGTTGTTTTTGTAATTTGCCATTTTTGGGAAGGGTGGTGGCGGCGGTATGGGACACGGTCACCGCCGCTGTAGTTGTTGTTGTCACCGGGGATGATGGTGATCTTTTATGCAAAATAAGAGGCGTTGTCGCCTCACCATTTCCCAGCTCTGTCACATTTTCATTTATTTTTAACAATTTTGTCACATTTTCATCAACACTTTTTCGCTGCTGGCAATTATCCGGCGAATCGACGCTACCTTTTTCCTTTAGGGACCACAGGGCATTTAAAATTTGCACTGCCACCAAGACGGTAAAGGTGAAACCGACAGTGACTAAATCGAAATAAGTCACTTCAACTAAACCGTAAAACATTTTCAAAGCTATTATTTGTCGTTATCTTTGAGGAAGATATATTTCTATAATTTTATTGTATTTTTTTAATGAACTTTATGATTCAAAATTTTTGTGTTGTTGTCAAATCATATTATCTAATTTTGTTGTTTTCATTATTTGTCATAAAATAAATTGTAATTATTTTATGATATTTTGCCATTAACAATAATTTATTTTAATTTCAATTATTTTTTTTTATTTTTTGATTATCATCACAAATTTGTTGTTAATATTTTTAGTTGTTGTTATTTTTTATCTTCAATTATTTGTTTAACACCCGCCATGTTATGCTTCTCAACCGGAATCGCAATATCAACTGAACTGAGCTAAACGATCAAAACATTTGATTTCCGAAAGCTTTTTGGTTGGTTACCCGGCAAAGCGCTCTCGGAATCTAACCATTCGCGTTTGTTTTGTTTTGATGTTACGGAGAATTGAATTTTGGGGAGATTGAGAATAACAGCAAGTGTGAGAGTGTGGGTTGCCACACACTTCACAGAAGTTTAGGTGACTTTTTTGGAACTGTAAGTTTATTCTTTGGACAGAACGTCCACCATAAAGTGGAGACACCATAAAGTATATTTGTTCATTATTAGAATAGATGTTTAGACATGTCCTTCTGTCTCATAAAACCACAATAAAAATTGCAATATTTCAGATAGAGTTTCAAAATTTTGCACATTGCTACTACACTTCGGATCTTGGTATTTACAATGGGATATAGCGTCACATTTTTGGTATTTTGAGGGTTTTAGCCACATTTTTGAAACGAAGAGGTATTTCGGAGATGGAACAAAATGAGAAAAACACTTACAAACGTGGTTAAGTTCGGCCCTGTCCTCCACCATCGAGAATATATATTCTAAATTGGTGCTCGAATATCTCAAATTTATCAAACATCGACAGGTCGGAAAAATCACAGAAATATTGTTTCAGTAAATGCAGAGTTTGGAAAACGAGGCTATGAACTTTAATATAGCAATTTTTTACCAAGATCCTGAAATGCAAAATTGCAGACTTTCCTGGGCGGGACCTTTATATTTGGGCAATGTGGCTAAACCCGCCAAAATACCAAAAATTGGACGTGACATGGACCTACAGTGATGATTTTCTGTTTGATAGCTTCCAAAACCCGGAAATAACAAACTGTTTCTTTTTCGGTTGGAAAATGCACATACAAACCTTAAATTATCGACAATCGATCGGGAGGTATAAATGGAAACTACGTCAAATTATGAACTTATAGGGTTCATGTATGTCACCCCGAAATGGCAAATGTGGGTAATAACCTCAAAATATTATTTTTGTTTTTTTTTTTTTGGGCCTATGTCAAAATATGGTCCCGTATTTTGATAATTTTTTGCATAAATATATATCAATCTACAAAAACCCGAAATGGCTGATTCGGTTAATAATGATCCTAAAACCTTGAAAATATCGAAAATTGGGCGGTACGATTATATGGAAGCTATACAAAACTTGGAGCGATATATTCCATTTTCCATACCAAACATTCTAGGAGAAATATCAGATTCAGTGCAGAATTTCAAAGCTGTATCTGAATTGTTGGACTAAGCCTGATATTTATACCCTGCACAACGTGGAGTGATTTAAAAATACCTTAAATTGTTCAGGACATTTACATGGGGGACTATGTTATTGCATTATGTTGCTAATGTCCAGAAGAAATAATAATCGAAATTACAGAAAAGATTTTTCACCAGAATGCCGAGGCGATATTAAAAATATCCAAATTGTATTTTACCCTCCTATATTATTAAATCATAGCTGTAGCTGGATTTTCGGGGTTTAGAACAATTATGTCGCATGTGCCAATCGTTGTTAAAGGCACCTTCAAAATCTATAACGCAGACATCATTGTATTCGATCACTTTTTGTAAGGCAATATCTACTGATCTTCCTTTGACATAGGCATGTAGTGATTTACTAATCTTGTCCAGATCAAAAAAGTTTCTAATTTCGAGGTTTAATCGGTATGTATGATAAACGCAGCCAAGCTCAACTTGTTTTTCTGGTTGGTATAATACCAACTGATCCTGGAGATTTAAATGATTGAAATCTACATATTTTTGGCATTTATATTGGAATAATTTGGAAACTACATATGCGAATTTTATAACACTAATGCAGAGGTCGGTAACTGTGTCTGAAATACAGAAACAATGGAATGCCAAACTAGCCATAATTGAGTGAGTGGAGAAACCGAGGTTGTAAACAAGAGAAACAATTGACAAACAACCACCAAGTGAGAGGAGAGACATATGACGATACCAAAACAAAACACTGCCGAACAATGTGAGGAATACATTTGTTTTTGTCAAAGGGAGAGAGAGAGAGCGCAAATTGTGGTAAAATAGAACGAAGTATGAAAATAGTTTTGATATTAAGGGGACCCCCCCATTCTCGGGGTCAAAATTTTTTATGATTTAATCCGATTCTACACTAATTCAAGAATGTCTCTACAAAATTTCAAGTGAAAATCGCAAGAACTCTTGAAGATATAGCCGATTTATTGTGTCAGCATCAAGTGGCGGCTAAAGGGCTTCTCAAACTTTAAACGCGTTTTTCTCTTTTGTGAATGGCGGGCACGATAACTCAAAAACTAATAATCCAATCGGTTTCAAATTTTGACACGTTTCTCAGGGAGTGTGTAGCTCTCGTATGAACTAGGATAAAGCCAATCGGTGAAGATCTTCCTTATTTTTTAACTTAGTTTTTGGTAAAAAATAGGCGATTTTCCAAAAAAAAAATTTCAAAGTTCCGCCATTTTGTTATTTGTTGTGCAAAGTCAATAATCCTAGTTCATACGAGAGCCAGACATGTCCTCTTTCTAACACAGTTGGAATTTTCGGATTCCGATGTTCCAGTGTGGAGTTATCATGCCCGCCATCGAAAATATGGACTTTTCTTTGAACCCAAAAAACAACAACAAAACAACAACAACAAATTTTGGTAAAGTATTTTTCTTCCTTTTTAAATCTTCAAATATATATGTGCCAAGTTACAAACCTTTACAAGCATTGGTATTCATTTACCAGCCCATTTAAAATCTTAAAAATAAAAAATTGAGAATGGGGGGGGTTCCCTTAATGAAATGTTTACATCTTGTGGATAAAATAGGGACTTTCTAATTATTATAAGAAACTTTATGAGTGGTTATTGTCGTTTTAATACTCGACACAATGTTTGACATTTAAGGCTATATTTTCTAGCGGCGGACGTTGACGTCTCAATGACACATACACCATAGCTTTTTCCTATCGCATTTTTGGCAATACATGCATCATTGGTCTTACATATGTAATTTCGAACCATATTAAAGGATTATTTTTTTTAAAGACAAACTCAAAATCATCATAGTGAAATAATATAGCTCTATCTGTATATGGCCGAATGTACCCCACTTTAAAATGCCGAATTATCGATCAAACAATTTCAGATTTATGCTCTTTGGAAGGGTGAAATTTCGCAGTAAAAAAATATTTTGCTGTTTTTTGTTTGGTGCATTCAGTTGTGAGTTACTAGGTCACACACATCTACAGTGACTCGCCAGAAACTTCGGGAGCTTGGCTGGGAAGTATTAATGCATCCGCCATACAGTCCGGACTTAGCACCAAGCGATAATCATATTTTTCTTGAGTTGCAAAATTTCTTTAATGTGAAAATCGACTACTAAAGTTTTTTGCAAATAGATATCAGGACTTCTATGAGAGAGCAATATGAAGTTACCTTTAAAATGGCAACAAATCATACAACAAAATGGTGCATATTTGGCCCAAATCAGACATTCTGAAGCATGTTAAATAAAGTCCTATCAAATTGAATAATGTACTATAATATACAAATAATGACTTTGTTTTTCCCCAATCTAATATTTTTAATTATTTTTATAAGAATATACATTGTAATTAACGATTCCATCCATTCCTACAATTGCAAATCATCGGTACCAATATTGTTAGCATCGGCTTGCCACCATGGAGTTAGGGGTTTCTATATTCACCAAGATTTATTCCGAGATGGCAACAAAAATACTTCTATTTGAATTTTTAATACAGATACAAATATCTTATAACGACTGCCAAGGGACCGACGAATGTGTTCGCTATAAGCAATATGTCGTTGTAACCGATATGAAAAAAAGGGGAATCTTTTCTCGTTACTTTGGATACAGTCGTTATAACCGATATGACTTCATAACTGACTTTGCACAGCCTATTGAATTAGTTCCAAATTGAAGTATACGTTTTGTTTTGTTAAAATCCGTTCAGATTTGGGTGTAGCTCCCATATACAGTTTCGTCCAATTTTATGTAAAATGAGCACCAAACTGCAAAGGATTGTCCTATTGAGACAAAATTTAGCACAGCGTACTGAATTGGGTCCAGATTGGAGTATGCGGAGTTTTTGACTCCTTAGGAGGGGTGACAGAGGAGTTGGATCGATGGGTTCCTCCTTTGATCTTAGTTTACAAAAAACTTACGATGCTGGGACAATTCGGATTATTTGTGTGGTAGATACTGTGAATGAATGTATATATATCTATATATATAAAAGAGCTTAGTGTTAAGAGAGTGAGTGACTGACTGACAGATCATCGCCCAGACGAAACGGCTAAAGCTAGAAGCTTGAAATTTTTAGTGTGGGTTGTTGTTGGTGTGTAGGCGTGAGATAAGGCTGGGTTTTTGGAGATTCGTACTAGAAGGGTACGAAAAGTACTAAAATGTACCAAATATGGTACCCCTTGTATTAGGTGAACGGGAAGAGCTAGAATTCTGAATTTGTAAATTTAGTTCTAATTCTACATATATTGAACATATATAGCTAAAATCTTGAAATTTTATATAGAATACAGGTTGGGAAATGGTGTTGATAGAAATTGTTTAAGATTTTCGTACTTATGTTTTTTAAAAAGTACTAAATGGTACTAAATTTGATACTATTTGCATTTAGTTGAGT